GGCTTCCAGACGGTGCAGGAGCTGCTGGACACCGGCCCCTGCGGGCTGAGCACAGGTAGCGGTGCCGATGCCGCCTCCCTCGGTGCCGGGACTCGCTCCGGCCTCCTGAGACCGGGAACGCGGCGGAGCCGCGATTTGGGCCCGTAAAGCGCCTTTATTGTTGGATTTATTTTTTTTAAAACAGTTGTGAAGCTTCGCCCTGCGGAGCAGAGTGAGGTGGTGGCAGCTCCGTGCGCGGAAGGGAGCGACACTTGTAGGTCTCGCATCTCGTGCTGGGTTCGCGCTTCAAATCGAAAGGAAAATAACGTCCCGCGCCGCTACGCGGGCTGCGAGCACTAGGTGCCACCCGTTTGCAGCGTGACATCTCTTACGGGCTTCAAGTGATGCTCAAAATAGCACGTTCAAATGCAAAGTGGAGGAATTGCCCACATATATATAATCTCCACATGTGTATATATGCATGTATATATAACACTTTTTGTGGTTGTCTTTCCAGAGGTGGGTATCTCCAAGGAAGAGGCGCTGGAAGTGCTGCAGGTTGTGAGGCAGGAATGTCCCGGCGAGGCGCCCCGGGATGCCGGGCTCTCCCGGAGGTGCACGGCGCTGGAGCTGCTGGAGCAGGAGCAGGCCCAGGGCTTCATCATCACCTTTTGCTCAGCACTGGACAACATCCTTGGCGGTGGGGTGCAGCTAACGAAGATCACTGAGATCTGTGGAGCACCTGGCGTTGGGAAAACACAACTGTGGTATCCTACTTTTCCATATACGAATTTACATGTGTATTATTAACTGAGAACCACTTTTCTTGTCTGACTTTTGTTGTGGTAAGAGTTGTTCATTCTTCGTGTGGTTGTTGCAATCTCTTTATATAGCATTATAAATATCATCCTGTTAACAGTTATACTGCTTAGTACTCTTGAGAACTACCACTGAGCTTTGTAATGCATATACTTATTGCTTTATTTTTCTGTTTCCCATTGCAGTATGCAGCTGGCCGTAGACGTACAGATCCCGGAATGCTTTGGGGGCCTTGCTGGAGAAGCAGTGTTCATTGACACTGAAGGAAGCTTTATGGTCGACAGAGTAGCAGATATTGCAACTGCTTGTGTGCAGCATTGCCAACTTATTGCCGAAGCTCATCAGGAAGAAGGTGTGATGCCAAGTCATGTTTCTTTCTGCCTAGTAGGCTGGGGTCTGAGTGTAGTAAGTGTCTCATGAGCAGCAGTGCTGGCTTAAGGAATCCTTTTGTTTCCCACCTCAATGTCCTAGTGCAGAACTAGGTTAATATGATGGTGGAACCATGCTACAGACTGAGCTGATTTAGTTCAAGAATAATTCTGTTCTAAGAGCGTGGGTTTTGTTGTTGTTGTTGTGTTTTTTTTTTTTTTTTAAGGGATATGTTTTGTTTTTGTTCTCAACACAGATCACTTTGGTATTCATGTTTACAGCAAACACACCCGTGACAGTAAAATGGTGGGTTCATGTGTTGCAGCACAGGAACAGCAAGAGCAGCTCAGGAAAGGCAGATTTGTTTGAGTCAGTGTTGGTTGGCCTGTGTTGAAAAGCTGTAGCTGCAATCTAACTCCTCCTAAGGTTAATGCAGACAGGTTGCATTTAGTTGAGTAGTTTTATTCTGTAAGTCATCAGCATGGTAGGGATGCTAACATAACTTATATGTTGCTCTTGGAACATTTGTACAAAGAATTTGAACAGAGCTAAAAGCATGCCATAATACATGAGCTACTACCTGTGCATTGACCTATACTGAGTGTTTTTATTTGGTGGTATTCTGGCTTGAAAGTGACTTACTGAAAAAGTCCTTTTGAAAAATTAATTTCTCCTCTTTGGAGCACTCCTTTAGAAGCTCCAGTGAATCTAGCTGCAAGTGTTGAGATAGGTTAGTCATCACCTTCCTGACTTTCTAGTCAGATGGAAAATGTCTTTTCTGCGCTTAACAGTGACTCTTTCAGTTCCTTTAGCAAAGTTTGTGTTTCTGGGTGTTTGGCTATTGTTACTATATGTGGAAAAAATACTTTTATGGAAGTAGCAATGCGTTAGTATAAACCTCTGACTTGTTTATTCATTTCTGTATTTAATCTCAGATCATTTAAAAGCTTTGGAGACTTTTTCTCTTGAAAGTATCCTCTCTCACATATATTACTTCCGTTGCCGTGACTATATAGAGCTGCTAGCACAGGTCTACCTCCTCCCAGACTTTCTTTCAGAGCATTCAAAGGTAAGGGTTAATGCAGATTTACCTGGCTATATGGTTCATCTTCACAGAAGGGTTTTGAGTGGCTTTGGGATACAGCAAGAGTATACATTCCTGGGAGCATTGCCTTAGGAGTTATCACAAAACTGCTTTACAGAAGAGACCTGAGTCATGTGTGTGTCTGATGACTGCGATGCAGAGGGGTCAGAATGACCTAGTCAGTTTGTTCTTCTAGCAGATCACTGAGGACCAGAAGCACATCCTGCTGGCATCCAGAAATTGACTGTTTTCATTCTTTCCATCTGTTGCTACAAGCAACCAGAGCCTGCAGCTTAACTCTTGAGTGGACTGCAGCCAAAAAGTTGCCTGTTGTCTTAGTGAAATGCTACTGTAATGCAGATTTTTCTCTGCCTCCTTCCCAGATTTATAGATTTCTAAACGGAATTCACAAGAGATGACTTGTGCCTCTGTGAGAGAGCCAAAATCAAATTTGTTTAGTTAGATTATCTTTTGGATATCATTTCCATTTTTGGATGCACGTATGAACTTGAAAGTGCAGATGTAAGTAGTCTTACTCTTGCTGCATGTAGTCTGAGAGTATTTGCCTTCCTCTGCCAGGTACTAATGGTGCCCTGTTGTGTTTGCTCTTGTGGAAAGTACATGGCTTCATTAGCACAGTTACATTGGGCTGCAGTTCTCTGGTACCATCTGTGCTGATTATCAGCTGGCTGGCAGCCTGAAATACTGAAGGTTGCAGGGGAGTTATAAGACCTTCTGGTGATTCCTTGGGAAGACAGTAATTGACTTGACAGACTCCTCCTTGCAGTCCAGTTTTCATTAAAATTGTTCTAATCCCTCTGACCAGACTTAAAGTTGAGGCTGGGACTATAGAATTGATCTGGATTTGTGCTCTTAAATTGGTTATTTCCATGACCAAAAAATTATGTGCGAGGAAAATGTACAGGAATTTACATGATGGAGAGATGTGAAGGAGAGCAGAAGAATATCTTATTTGAACTCTAAATAACCTTTTTATTTTTCCAAGTTACTTTTTTTTTTCAGTTGGAGCCTCAGGCCCATTTCAGAGTGATGTTTGCTGTAGGCTTGTATGTTCCAGTCCCAAAGCTATTTTCCAATGATAAGTTAAATCAATAATATAGAAAGAGAAGTGTTTTCTCATGTTGTTTTCAATTTGTTATCTTGTGCATTAATGCAAAAACTTGCAGATACCCAGGACTTAAGTGACAAATGAGAGTATATACCATGTAAGACTATTGGTCTTCCTTCTGTATTTCAGGCAAATTTGGGTCATCAGAACAGCTGCAGCAAATGAAGTTAGAATAAATCAAAATCCTGAATGCATATTTATATGGTGTCTGGAGGACAATAAGCCTACAGCAATGTTGTGTCTGAGGTCTGCTGCAAAAGCAGCAAAGGAAATACCTTCAAGAAAGATACTCAGCTCCATTTCATAATGTCTAGAATATCTTCAAGCAGCTGTTAAAATCCATGTTATTAAGATAGATCCATGATAGGGCCCTCAGTGTCTGCGTTATTTTAACAGTGAGTGCAGACAGCATGTTTTCTGTTGGTTTTTTTTTTTGGTGGGGAGGGGGGAGAGAGAAATCAACCAGCTCTCCATGAGCACTGTTTTAAGGGCAGTTCTGTTATTTAATGATTTTTCTCCTCAGCTTCTATTTGACAAGGGTTATTTGCCCAGCTTTCTCCTTTGGTTTTCTGGGTTAGGTGCTGCAGAGATAAGTCACCTCACTGTTAGTGAGAGAGCCCCGAGAGCGAGGGGCAGCTCTGAGTTAACTAACAGAAAGGCTTAGTGCAGCATTGTGTTTAAGCTAATGTAACTGTGGTTTGAGACAGTATCTGTGTATAATGCAGCATGTGCTTAACAAATACAGTGATATATATTAGTGTATGCTGCTGTTCTTTGGAGCTTAAGGCTCTTCACCCTTGAATTTAGTATGCAGTACTGTCTCTAATACACAAGGACAGACAGGAGATGGTACAGTCAAGCACATCTGAGTATAAAACAAAATATTGACATCACCTTATATGAAGCAGGTGCTTTTAGAGGATCTTACTACTTTTTGTTAGCAATTTGTAGGATACTGATGATAGCTCTTATATTTTCTTCGGTATCCAGGTCCGACTGGTGGTAATTGATGGAATTGCATTTCCCTTTCGCCATGACTTTGAGGACCTCTCACTTCGCACGAGGCTTTTAAATGGTCTTGCACAACAGCTGATCATCATGGCAAATGATCACAAAACAGCAGTAAGTCTGGGGCAAGTTTAACTTGTGAACAATGTTACTCCTGAATCACTGCCTTATGAAGGATTAAGCAAATGGGGTGTGTGAATGTAGACACAACAAAACATCAGGAAGGTTCTTTACATTCTTGTTTGCCAGTTTCATCAATAAATATGGATAGATTGCATGGGCAAAATGGCATAGATAGGAAGGTGCTGCACTTTCCAAATAAATAAAATTCACACCAGCATCCTGTAAATTTAATCTAAATGGTAACATTAATTTTCCGTGCTGTTCCACATCATCTCCTTTTGTGATTTGATTGGGATAAGAGTGCTCTTTTTGTGACTTCTACCTACCTGCAAAGCACGCATTAAAATAGGTCAGAATACTTAGAGGTACCAGCGTAAATTTATATCCTTCACTTAAAAATAAACTACTGTGTTAGTGGAAGAACTGTTCCTGTGGAGGAAAACCACTTTACCTGCTAGAGTTTGGCTTGCTGTTCTGGCATCCATGGAAACCCCCGGCTTCCTGCCTGGGGATTATTTCTATGTCACTTATGCCAATATGGAAGCCTGCGAATGTGCAGCCAGCAGATGGCACTCGGAAGCTGCTTCCCTCACAGAAGTTATTTGGCGAGCGTGTTGCAGCACAGAAAAGCATTGCTCAGGAATTGGAGCTTTCAGGGTCTCAAAATGGTGCTGGGCTCTGTAACTGCTGCCAGGTGACTTGCTTTCTTGTCACCCACAACTCTCACATATTGGATTTTGTTCGTACTGCTGACAGTGTCCTCCCCTTGTGCTCTCTCTGCTAGTAGCCAGAAGGGCAAGAGCGCAGCTCTGCAGCCGGTTACATGGTTGTACTTGCTGCTTAAGGCAGGGCCCCCTCTCCCCACAGTGTGAATTACGAAGCTTCTTCCTCTGCTGTGGGCACCAGCAGAGAGGAGCATTATATGACTACTTGATTTGCACGATGCAGTTTGACTGCTCTTGCTCATCCTTTAGGTGCCCAGTGACCTTGAATGGGAGAAGTTGTCACTGTATAGTCTTGTTTGGTTTTATTTTTCTGCCAAGTGAAACATTTAACTTGTCTCAAACAAGCAAGAACTTCACTAATAAATTGTTAAATATAACACTTGCTAAAGAGGTGGTCAAGCACAGAGCTTCAGGAATGGCCTAGCTTGGAGTAACCTTCTTGTTAGCTTGAGTTAGTTGCATGTAGCTTGCAGGCAGTCTAAATTAAGCCTGCATGCCAGAGGTTGCTTGACTGGCAGCAAATCCAGGCCTGTCTGAGTGCCCTAATAGGGAAGAAAGGGAGTTTCTTTAGTTTCTAAAGCTGAACACCTTGGTTTGTGCTGGGATACCCACTCAAGTTCTCATTAGCAATGAGATGTGGGGCCATTGAGGGGCTATTACCATTGATCTACGATGAGTTCATTCTCCAAAATATACAGTGTATGTTTTGCAGCTTTCAGCTATGTAAATGTTTTGGTATGTGCCCATATGCTCAGTAGAATTGGCTGTTCAAATATACTTTTCTAACTGTTCAAGCAAGACATGTCAAACACTGGAAAACCCTTAGGGTTTAGGATAGGTACTTTTTTTTTTTTTCATTTTTAATGAACCTTGAGAGTAATATTCCTGGCTCTTTTCTGTCTCACCACCCCCACTGCTACCAAGAATCTAACCTAGACTGTCTGTGAACCTCCTACGAATGATTTGTGCTGCGAAAACACTCCTCCACTCTGTCTGTTCATTCTCATTCTGCTTTGTATTGTACCCACTTGCACATTTTTAGACTACAAGGTGCAGAAATTTTGTTAATCATTAGGCTTGTGCATGCCTTGTGCAGCACCACCAAGTTTTTTTATGCCACAGTGAGTGAAACCTATCCATATATAGAAGGCTAATATAAGTCTGTGCATCTAAATACAGATCCAAAGAGACTTTAGTACATATACAGAAACTCAACACAACTAATATTTCCCTATCTCTTGCATGGGGAGAAATTTCATTTTGTAAGTCTTGAATGAAAGAAATCCACTTCCCTTGCAAACTGAAAATACATTTTGCAGAGTTCTCCTATTGTTTCATCTGTTGAGAAAAGATAAGGCACCTTTATTGTTTCTTCCTGTTAGCACAGATCTTTGCTTTTGTTGACAACAGTTTGACCCAAGTAAGCACTTTATTGGTAAAACCTTCTAGGAAAAAAAGGCTGTTCTTTCCCCTCCCCTATTATGATTGCTTCCCAGAGGATTCTGTTTGCATGTTTCTGTTTTTCCTTTTAGATAGTTCTGACAAATCAAATGACCACAAGGATTGGACAAAGCCAGTCCACCCTGGTACCTGCTTTAGGTAGGTGTTTAACACGTGAGTTGAAAACTGAAAATCTTTTGAATATTTTGGTATTGTGAATAACAGTAACAACAACAAACTGTTAAAATTTCTGTGATAGATCAGTTTCCTAAATTCCCTGAGAACTGTTAACAGCCCTCTAAAACATATTCAAATATAATGGTAAAATAAACAATTTAAACTGTTTCCATTGACTCTTTGCAAAGGTATTTCGTGTTTGGTGCATGTGTGTAACTTTCTGTCCTTTGCTCCCTACAGTTATAGTGTAGGGGAAAAAAATCTACGTGGGTTCCTGAATTGCAGCCTGCCCATAATGAGTTTAAGTGCCTCTTACAGGCTGTTCCATCTTGCTCTGTAATGAGCAGAGTGCCCCATATAGACTCTTTTGCCCTGCCCACAGGGGAAACTGGCACAGTTCATCTGAAACGGTGATTTGGCCAAATTCAAGATTTAAATGCTGAGCCTTTTCTTGTTCAGGTTGTAACTTTATACTTCATGAAGTATTTAAAGAGCAAAAAATCTCTGCCTATAGCTTCAGATTCAGTGGACTAGGTAATAATTCCCCTGGTCTGGAGGGGAGAGAGAAGAAGGAGATAGTACAAAGGCAAAGATGTTCTCAGTGTCTGTACAGGTATTGAACCATTCAGCACAGATGTAAGATAAAATGAACAAATACAGATCATATCCTTGGAGAGTGTGAAATTTTGAGCTGTTCATGCAGATAAAGACCTAGCTTTCAGGATCTGACCATTTTTGTCATTTTCATATCATTCTCTGATGTATTAGAAAGGCTGCCAAAAATAACTGGCTACAAACTGAATTAAAGCTAATAGATTCTGTCTTGACTTTAATAGCCAGCAGTGTTTGAGAGCTGTGAAGAATGCTAAAAGAGTCAGTGTAGGTTATAATCTTAAATTATCACATTGTCTTGAACACAATTTTATTCTTAAGAGCATTTAATTTGACATAACCCCCTCTTGAGGAAACCATAAACTGATTGTGACTCTCATCAGAATGTGTGTGCAGCCTCATAGTTTCATTTAGCTGAATGGCATATCTGCTCTCAAAAATGAACATTTATACCAGTTGGTAAAATATTCAAGCAAAGAGATACTCTGTGCATTCAAATTTAATTTTAAATTTAATTTTAAACAGTGGAGAATTTCGAATTGTAAACAGCTTTGTATCACTCTGATGTGAATTTATTCCATCGAGTCAGTATGAGTGTTGTGCTGGTGTATTCCTGGGTGATTTTATGACCCAATCTGAAGGGAGTCTCATCGTAAAGCTGAAGAAGCTCCTGCTCCTGTATGATTGGCTGTAGCCAAAGGGACTATTGAGGGGCAGGTAAGCAGCAAAATGCCAAGTAAAATTAGATCAGTTCCTTCCTTATAGATTTCCCCTTTCTAGGTTATTGGTAGGACCCAGAAACAGCTGCTTTTTCTTTTTCTTTTTTTTTTTTTTTTTTCCCTCTAAGACTTCACAAAAGCCTTCACAAAATCCCTAAACTCTTACTCAACTTCCTAGCAGAAGGGAATTCCTTAATTATGAAGAAGAGCACAGATGCTGCAAGGTATTAAGTCAAGAGCTTTATGAAGGGGGCAGCTTTCTTTCCCACTAGTGATAGCTAAGCTGGGTGTTCCTAGACATTTCTGCTTGATATATTTAGAAAGGAGGTCACATATTAATCTGCAGCCAGTTTAACTCAGAAATATCTCATTTTGCAGTAGTGTTTTTCCCCTTGCATCCAGTGCAGTTGGAAGGAGTCTGGAGTGGAACTTGGGTCCATTTTTAAGTTCTGTGGTTTTAATCTCTGACTCGGAACTATATGCGATAGCCAAAACATTAAATCTCAACTAAGATATAATGGACCAGGATCTGGCAAGATGCCTAGAGAGTCTAAGCTTCATAACAGTTGAGGGTTGTTTTGTTTTGTTTGGTTTTTTCCTCCATGCTATGATGAAGACCAGAGCAGGTAGGAGTGGTGATGTGCTGGAGACCCACAAATAACTGATGCAGAGGTTAGCAGGTTGTGTACAGATGAGTAGAACCTTGCAGTCTTAACCGAATGACTGTTTCAAAATTCAGTCCATGTTCTGACTACTGAATGTCTCCTGGGATAAAGAGAGGAAAATGCTCAATAGAACTGTCTATAAATTGAATGATCTTGTGGTCAGATGAAATCTGAAACAGTAGGACAATTTCCCCTGAAACAGGATAACTTCCCAGATTTTCTTCCTTTTTTTATTATTATTTTTTTATTCCACTCTCTTGGTTGTGTTCTTTATCCATTTGCTCTCAGAAAAGGAAGACTGCTTCAGGGGCCCTTAATACTTTAATAATCACCGACTTTCTCCCAAAGCTTGTATCCCAGAGGGAGTGATGTTTGCTCATAATTATGCATGAGAGACAGAAATGACAATTTTGGACTAGGGTTTAGACACATTCACTAGACTTTTTTCAGTAATTAAAAAATGCTTTCTTTGTGTTGCCTCTGTTTTCAAGATTTGTCTAGCACCTGTCTTTTATTGGAGGTGTGTATCTATAAAATCTTCTTACAAATACAGAAGTATTGCATCAAGCTTTTTATAAAACAGACTGTAGATGAGTACAGAAGTTTTTCCTTATCTCAGGATGTTTAATAACCTAGTTGTAAATTCCTTGCACGTCTAAAAGATGTGATTCATTATTGCAAGAAAGCTGTATATATTTTAATCATGGGGGCTTGGGGAAGACTGATCTAATTTCAATCAGAAATTACAGAGGATAAGTAAAATTCTGTCACCGATTTATATTGCTGCTTTTACAGAGGATAAGTAAAATTCTGTCACTTTGTCACCCAGGAGAAAGCTGGGGACATGCTGCTACCATCCGTTTAATCTTTCATTGGGATAACAATCAAAGGTAAGTGTAAATGTAGGCCAAAAAAGTACGTAGTAATACACCAAGTCTGACACTGTCTTACAGGCTGAACTTGGATTTCAAGTTCAAGTTTCCCTGGCCAAGCAGGAATTTGAATTTGACTTCAGACTGTGCTCTCCCCCATGCTAAGCTATTGAGACTCAAGGAAAGTTATCTAGTTCGGCCCAGAGATAGCGTGGGCTGAGCTGTTGTGCTGCTTTTCACTGTGGTCAGATGGCTGCTGTGCTGTCTGTGCTGTCTGCTGTTTCTGACACACTATGTCTCGTAAATACCCTGGTGGTAGCTGCTCAGACACAATAATTTGGGAGCTGGTGAACACTTTTTATAACCCAACTATGGGCATGTACTGCTGCCCTCAGTCACAGACCTCCAAGCTTCACCAAAATTCAGTCCCATAGTCTCCATTCTGCAAGCAGGGAGAATTTCTGTGCTCAGATCTGACGTTTTGGCTCTAGGCAATACAACTCGCTTTGATGTCTGGGAAGGCTTCCACCTAGGCAGGGATCCCCAGAGGGCAGGACCAGGGCTTGCTGTCTCCAGAGCCGCACAGGACCAGGGCTTGCTGTTCTGCTTTGGAATACATTAGGATGGTTCTTCTGAAAACTGGACAGCCATGCAATTGCTAAATCACTGTTAGCTGCAAAGATGGAAGAAGAGAGCTGCCTTTATTCACCGTGCAGTGTGTCTGTGAAAGATGATTTCAGAAGAAATGAGGATGACCCCCCCCTAAAACCAGTGTGAAGTTCTCTTGCTGCTGCAATGGGGTCTTTTGCTTCTTCCCCCCTGCCTCACTATGTTGCCAGCTCACTGCCTACTTGTTTGATTTGTCTTGCATATAATATCACAATGCAGCTGTGATTTGAGACTTAAGGAACCTTGATTCTATTTCCTAATCTTCTGCAAACAAAGAACAAAAAATACTATTGGAATGTTGTTGTGCATACTTTTGTTTTTAAACTTCTTTAAAAAAATAGCAATACTTTCTTGTATTGCTTGTGGGGTTTTGTTTTTTAAAATTCTAAATATGAAAGCAATGCAGAGTGATTACAGCAGGCTGTTTAGTCTGGAGTTAAATTAATGACACTGATTAACGGCCTTTGTAAAAGAAATTGTATGAACATGACAATTGCAGAGTGAACACAAGTTAATTTTGTATACAGAAATTAAAGAGTTTTTTCCTTCCACATCATGGCCAGGGATGTTGTAGCTGTAGGTTCCAAAATGAAAGGTGAAAGGTAGAAAAGCTTTTCTTATTTGCTTTTCTAAATATACAGCCAATATGAAATGGGGCCTGCAGAAGTGCTGCAATTCTGGATATCTGTAAAAAGCAGAAACAGATACTCAGGGGCATTTGTAAATTAACTGCCTATACTTGATGTTTCCCACTGATTTTCTATTCTTGTTTCTATAGGCTGTTACTGAGGTGCGAATTTAACCATTTAAGAGGTCATTTTCCTTTCCTATTGTGCTTGGGCTAAACATGATGCTTGTCAATCCCACTCTTGCATTTCCAGTAGTAGAGAGAAACTGTCAAGCCTTATTACAGGGGGTCACATTGCTGTGAGGAAAGATCCTGTTGAGCTGAGAGGTGCAGCAGAGCCCCAGCTGAGGGCTTGTAAGAGCAGGGCTTCTGCAGCTTCACATTTAGGCTGTTTTGTAAGGTATAACCCACCTCTTAAATGTTCTGAGGAATTCCCTGCGTAGCTAATACGAAGTGGCAGTGTTCCTCAGGCTGTAATTACGTGCTTTCTAATAGAATGGCACCTCAGGGAGGAAAAACCCACAAAAATAATTAACAGGATCCTTGGCAGGGTGTCTTGGTGCGGAAAGGGGAGGGTAGACATGGAGCAGACCAGCAGTGCTAGGACTGGTTTAAAAAAAATCCCTTGATATTCAGCTCTTTTGCTGTCTTTTATCTGTACTAGGCAAGCACCCATCTCCCTCACATTCTCCATCCACTGTATTTTGTGAAATCTCCAGAAGAAACTCCCTGGAAGTTTTTGATTTCTTCAGGCTTATCTTCCAGCTTTGAAAGGTCAAGTTGCAATAGTTGTTTAATGGAGTAGAAAACAACTATGCTCAAAGGCTTTTTTGTTTGGATTTTAAAATGGCATTTGGAATTAATTCAGAATGGATATTGTTTTGAAAATGTGATAAAATACAATGATAAAACAAGGCTGATCAGTCATTTGCTCTTTATTAATAGGTGTATATTATATTTAAGCTGACTGATCAGATAGGGATGGGATTTTGACATCCATGTGTTGAATGCCCTATGCAAGTCTACATAAATAAGAATTCCCCTGGTCACCCAGCCCATGATTGTGGGACAACTTGGGTCTGGTTAACATAAAATTGTTTATTTGAAATTTCTTTGTTATCTGTATTTACTAATCCTAATTCTTTGTTTTTGTTTAACCAGGCTGGCAACATTGTACAAATCACCAAGCCAGAAGGAGTCAACCATACCCTATGACGTTACAGTTAGTATCTCTTTGGAAATGGAAATACTGGGGTGGGATCAAAGTTGGCTTGGAAGAACTTAGAGATGTGTAGACAAATATGAGAATGCACTTTGTGTTCTTAGAAGGCAAGTGAAAGGCAACGCTGAAAGTAGCCCATAATGATGGAGTGGCTCCAGATTTATGAATATTTTTCTCCTGTGCCTCTCTTTGAACAAAATGACCTGTCATGTCAATCCTTAGACAGTTAAAACACCTTCCAGATCACTTACAGCCCATTCTCGTGTTGTTGTACTGTTCATTTATGAGTCCTTGATGGACTTACTCCTGATGGGAGTGTAATTAGAGGATACTCTCTGTGTCTTCATTTTGGGAACAGCAAACCAAGCTTTCTTCTCCCTTGAAGGACAGGCTGCTTGTTTCCACAGTTGCTCTTCTCTGCATCTGGTCCATTCTGAGGTTATCTTTTCAGAACAAGAGTGACCAAAATCATACCAGGTATTCCAGGCACCTCACCAGTGCTTGGGCCACGCTTTCCCCATCTCTGCTCTGAGTACATTGGCTGCCCAATGTACTGCCTGATGACCAGCCAATACATACAGATTTTTCTCTCCTGTCACTATTGTATAATGTGCTTCCAACTCAGGGTGGGAGTCCTTATCCCCAGGTAGATCCTGTGGTTATATTTCTTTATGAAGCACATAGACATCCTGATAATAATACTTAGTGTCTGAGCTATATTTAGGTTTTTTAAAAAAACTCTTTATCTTCAAATGTCGCATTCATAGGTACATGCAATAACTATGTGCTGTGTCCTCATGGAAACACGTTGCCATAGCATTTCCTGCAGATTTTAATGCTGTCTGTAAAATGAGGTTTTCAAAAATACCAAACAGAAATGATTTTTTTTCATTCCTGAATGTCCTTAGCAGGATAGGTAAAGGTTATATATAAAAATACATATGTTTGTGTTTGTACATATACATACGTTCTTAGTTCTCTACAGACTTAGAAAGGCAAGTGGGAGCACATCCAAGGTTGCTTGGGTTATATGAATTGACTGTGCTGGCCTCTCTGACCATCAGATTGATCTTATCTTTAGGCAGTTTAATTCCCCTTTTCATTCAGCTTTTTACTTTGTACAAAACAGCAGTGCTCTCTTCCTCTGTGTGCATGAACACAGTCTTGAAATACAGTTGAGAATGTATTCTAATTAAAGATTAGTTAAAACTTAAGGTTAGACTTGTGTTTTTCCCCTAATCTTGTTGAGCTGCTTCAGTAAATGGCTTCTGTAGGTAAAGCATTTATTATCCCTATTTCTTTCATGAAATTCAGGTCTGATGGTAACTGTCTTCTTTTATTGTTTCTTATTACCACCTCAGTAGTTAAACTGGAGGGTATGAATGTGTTCAATACTTGCACAGATGTGCTAGATCATATTGGTATACCCAGCATTCAAAAAGAACACTTATAAATTCTTCAGAGAGCCCAGTACCTCAAAGATGTTTAGGCTTATGACTGCTGTTAATTTTAATGTAAATTAGATATTACCTTTTGAATACTCACTCTTGAGTGTCTGTAAGCTGATGGAGAAGGTTATACCTTAGTGACCAAGCTCCATTTATTTTTCAGTTATTTCCTTTTCAGCATCCTAGTGTGTTGGTCACCACTCTGAGCAAGCCCAGAAGCCAGGGAGCACCTAGGAGATGAAATAATTTCTCTTTCACAGGGTGATGGGGAGTGATTCTTAAAAGCAGAATATAGAGGTATAAAGACAGAGATTCAGAACCCATATTCTGGATAGGAATTGCCAGCATTTTCCTAACATCAGAGGGTCTGCCAATACCAAGAGCATACCAATAACCAAGAGACTGCCTTTCAAATAATAAAGCCATAGCCTGGTCAATCTTCGGGCAGTCTGTAGTCAGTAGAAAATATTAAAGAACAACTCAAAATGGCTATTGAGTATCTGAGCTTTGCAGCCCTGAAGAAGCTTTTTAAGCCTCAGTTCTGTTAGCTGTGTTGTCTCTGTCTAAAAGCCATTAACAAGTTTCACAAATATGTGCAAAATTTTTTTGTGTTTTCAGGCACTAGGGAGAGAGGCTCTGCCTAGAAGATACATGCCTTTAAATGACACCCATACTGAACAGCCCACTTTATAGAGTTCCAACCTTTATAACCATTGGAATGTTTTCATTAGGAGTCCCGGGTGCTGGATTAAGTGGATTCTTGGCTACAGATCCACCTTTGTGCCTCAGGGAAATGGCAGAGATTAGATGCAAGCAGCAGTGAAACACTAAACTTTAAGATTCCCTTTATGCTATTTAGAATAACACTTGAGTTGCTTAAAATAGCAGAGGGATTGTGCAAGTTCTGCCCTTGTGCTACTCCTTGATGCTTGTTCTTTTAAAGCGGAGGGCTGCAGGAGGTGATGCATTTAGAGAGAGGTTACAAATACAGAGATGAGAGACTTAAGCAAAACATTTCACCTGGTTTCACTTTATCTTGAATTGATCTTGCTCTGGGATGCAAGGGCATTTCAGAAAAGTCACATATCTGAGAGTAATTCTACCTGATTTTTCACACCGCACCAGCCTGAAATATCAGCTCTTCTGAAATGCTCTCGTTCGCTCCCTGTCTCTGCTTGAGCATTTAGGATCTGCAAAGCAATTGCTTTTCCTGATAACCCCTTTTCCTCTCCAAGTCTCTGCCCTGCTGATTCCCTCAATGAGCTGTTAACAACCCTCCCTACCCGATGTGTGGAGATGGGAGGACAGTCACGGGCTTCACAGTGTAACATCCCACTGCCACTCTGCGCTTTAACTGATTTTCCAGTTCTTTCATATTTCTAAATCTTTTTAAAAACAATTATCTAAAGAGTGAGCTAAGCTAACAGAAAATACCAATGTTACTAAGCCATGTAGAACACACTGAGCTCTCTGCTATGTACCAGCATCTAGTTTTCACTTCTGCATTTAGGTTTTGGCAGTTAAAAGTTCTCACCCCCTTGTGTCCCATAAATCACCATGGTGGGACAGTGTGGTCTGCATAGACTGATTCAGATCTGCTCTTCTCTCAACATCTCATTGCCATTTTCAGTTCATTAAACAGATGCATAAAACCAGAAATATCCTAGGTTTTAAAAATTTGCACTTGTGTTTCTGAAAATGACTGGGGCAGTGAGTTCAACAATCCCCTGTCATCTTTGGGAGTTTGGTTTGAGTAAAATAGAAAGATTTGGCTTTTAGTTTATTTAAATAGGCAATGTAAGTTAATTTACAAAGCAGCAGTGGTCCATAGCCATAGGGGTGATTGTTGATAATATGGAAATGATAGTCTGATCGGTGACAAGAAAATATATTTTAGAAAATAAAGTAAGTAAGGACAGTTTGCTTGCATGAGCATTGAGAAGTTTGCAATTCTGTGATTAGCTGAGTCTATAAACGTTCTCTGGCCACTCAATTAAATGCTGTCCGCATTCCTTATCCTGGTCTTGTGGGTACTGGAGTTACTTGTGTTTCATATTCTAGGATGTCCTGTCAAACGATTTTGCTTTTATCTAACAGCCTCACGGTTTCCGAGATGTGCAGCCTCCAGCTGTTGCTCAAAACCCAGATGGTACCGAAATGAACCCTCGAAAACGTCCACGGAGAGAAGAGGAAAAATAAGTGATTCAAAAGTTGAATGTTAAAAAGTTATGCTACATGTGAACCCTTGCATAGTGAACATGCAACTCAGGGCAGCATGGGAGGTTGTTCAAGTAAAATTCCTGTTCTGAACTTTACAACAATGTTAAAATTACAATATACAAGTTTCCATAGTGGGAAGTTCCTTCCCACATGACATAGTTTTACTTTTCTAATAAAAACGTAAAATGTTTTCTACGTGAAGAGGCTGCAGCTTTGTGGGGAGGGAGACTGCACCAGCTTCTTTTACTCTGGATACAAAAGTGATTCCAATTTAAATGCTGGGATAGGAGGAGCCAGTAAAATACAGTTAATGACGTAGGTCTTGATCATTCATCTGTTTCTGTGTGCAGCTGAATTTTAACAAGGTTCCATGCAGCAGTCTGCTCACATGCCTCAAGCTAGGGCAGAAAGCAGTGGAGCTTCTGATATAATGCTTTAAGATAAAGGCATACTTAAATGAAATGCCACATCGGGACTTTTAACCCTTACCTGCTGCAGAGTCCTTGATCAAGGGCAGCCAAAGCACTATTTCCAAAACCTTATTTGTGTGGTAGCAGTAACAGCAGAGACAGGAGACTAGATATGAAGGACAACAAAATTTAATCCAGTCTGGCAATTTCATGTTCCTATCTTGGTGAGTAAGAATGTTTTACCATCA